TCCTGCTGAGAAATCCGGCGGAGTTCAGTTGTAATAAAAGAACAAGATTCTGTTCTAATGGTAATGGCGTATGACAGACATATCACTTTGTCTGTCCTCAGCACCAGAGAGAGGAGAATTGGAGAAAGGTCACCTGACCTGCCTGTGCTGTTGTGTGAATGCTGCACTGAGCTTTGAACTCCAGCCTGGAAGCACAATTATTTATAATACTAAATGGTAAAGAAACCTTTATAGAGTCTACAGTAATTAGAATAAAGCTTATACAATAGTGCAAGTGGCCTGGCTCAGAAAACACGCTGGCAAATCTGTCACAGTGGCAGAATCTGAAGCTTATGTGTTGAAACTAAACACCTTCGTTTATGTCTGTGTGAACCTTCCTTTGCTTTTTCAAAGCTTGTCTGTGTTCAACAGCTCCAAAAGTTTATCGTGTTTGCTGATTTTTGTTTTTAATTTCATCTTTCTAGCCGTTGCCAGAGAGTGTCTGGGTTTCAAAGCCAATTAAATGTGTTTTTTTTTCTTTTAATCCTTAGCAGCAACTTGATTAATGAAGTTAGTTCACAGTGGTCTTTCTCACTGTTACTGTACATTGAACCTTCACAGATGAACAGTTAATGCCTTAGACAGGCTTTCAATAGATGCTCTTTGCTGAATCTCTGTTTTCAGCCCACAGTTTACACTGGCGCAGCTTTGGTAGTACGCTCAAGTGTTTGGAGACAAGAAGACAGCCTTACCTGAGAGCGTGTCAAGCTACTGGCAAACAACTAGGTCACTTCTGAAAAGCTGTGGTTTTTTTCCTTCTTGTACAGTGTTAAAGTTAGTTTGCTGCTCTTTGCAAGGATTCTTCAAAGTCGGCCTCAGCAGCAGATGGAACAACTGTTGGCTCTAGAAATGCTGAGAAGCATCAGGGGGAGTTTGCCAAGGATCATCCTTTAAATCTAGTAAGACTTGAACACATCCCTGAAACTCCTCTAAGACCTTGGCAACCCCTGTATTGGCAAACCTTTTATCAGTGGCCCTCACCAGTGTTTGAATATTGTGCTGGGCAGACTACCCTGGCGTCTTCTGTTGTCTCGCCCGCCTTTTGACAGTTGTGACCTGGAATAGTCAGATTCACATCCTAGGTTTCTGTACTGTAACTTTTAGTAAGCCATGAAGTAGAGATGCCATTATGCTGTGCTGCACACATTCTGCTGTCAAGTTTTGGTTAGGAAACTGAGCTGGTGTCGTACATTCTTCCAAGAAGAAATCTGTGCCAGAAAAATTGATTTAAGAAACAGAGCTAGTGGAGCCTGTCCAAAAGAAAATGCGTGTGTCTTGCGGAAATGGATTTTAACACAGCTTCTTCTTGAGCAGTTTTAAAAACAGCCGGTATGCTAATCATACCATTCAAATTTACCAAGGCCTCCTCCACAACCCATTTGAAAGGCAACTATCTTTGAAGTTTGCCAAATTGTGCTGGATTTCCAAAGTCTGTCTAAAGCACATTTTGCCTTTGATCATGTAAATGCTTGCATGCTGCTCTGTTGGGTGTTCAAGGTGGTTACACGCTCCCAAGTAAGCAGGAGAGAGCAGGCACAGGTGCAGATAAGGAACTGGGCATAAAAGCTTACCAGTCCATTTTGGGATTAACTTCAAGCCTCTTGCTTGTAGAGGGCCATGCAGGAGATTAAAAAAAAAAAAAAAAAAACACAAAAACAAACCAAAACAAAAAATAACCAACAACAACAAAAAACAATGCTATAGAGAATATATTTATCTGAGCAATGACCTTTACCATACCACCAGCATTCTCACCTGATAGCTACAGTCTTCACTGACTTCAGATGAGGTGCATCATACTCTTGAATAAGGACAGCAACATGACCAACACTTGTAAACAGCCAGGGCTGTGTTCATTCCCGCCTTTGTTCCTTGCTTTTTATGTTGCACATATAAATATAGCATCTAGTACTTGCATGATGCAATATCCCTAACCCTTTCCATGTAACCTTTAAAGTACAGTAATTCTGGGATGAATTTTCAATGTAGTTTGTAAATGTAGCTAAACGATTCTCTGGTTTTTTTATGGGGCACAGTGCATTGTCTGTAGCATATGCTGAGAAACAGAAGCAATTCAGTGTGAAATGTGACAGGAGAGAATTCCTGGGCACTTTTCTTTTAACCTTGTTATGACCTCAGCCCTAACCCTACTCACAGTTGTGTCTCCATCAATGGCAACAGCACACAGATTGTCCAAATCAATTTTTTTGTTCTTTTGAAGTATTTCTGGCAGTGATGTTACTATTTGCTCAGCAGTAGCACCTGGGAGTTGTGACAGGGAAAGGAAACGTGTTTCAGACAAGCCAGAAACAGCACTAAGCAGTTGGATATACACAATCAGATTCTCCTCAACTGCAATACCCAGACAGATATCAGTGTGAGTCCTTAGCCAAAGATGGTACTTTATTTTCACGTTACCTGATCCTCTGATCACCAAAGTGAACACTGGATTTGACATTTTTCATGTTGCCTATAGTCAGCAATAGAATTGCCTTGGAAAGACTTAGAGCTTGCCTCTCTACCACAACACAGATTGGCCTTAAAATGGCCAGAGACTCTCTGGGGGAACTTGTTCCATTTTTGAGGAATATATGATGATGATGCTACCATTGTTGCTGTATGCACCAGCTGTGTCTTGCGTCTTGTTTATGGTATACGAAGGATAGAAAGGGGCCAGCAGTGTACTTGTTCCATTGCCACCCACGCAAGGTAAACCTGGTAAAACAAAACTACAGAGTCACTTTTGACTTTCTTACATCTTTCTTACATCTGTTACCATGGAAAAAAAAAAAAAAATAAAAAAAAAAATAAAAAAGGAGTCTTTGGA